CTACTAAGTGATTTAATCTATGTAAACAACAAATAGTAAATAGATCTGCACATACGTTGCATGCGGCAATCGTGGCACTGCAGCTTTAGTCTACCTCTAGATTTTAAATATTAGATATCACACTTCTGTCAGGCCTTAATATATTTGTGTTTTGGTGCCTCTTTAAAGGTTTTGTGTTTCTTTAGAATGTAGCTATATCTTAAAATATTTTCTCAGTGTCTATCACTGTTCTTGGCACTTTATGCATGGTTCTTTGAGTGGAATTGTGTTTAGTCCAAAAAAGTGAATGCTTTGATATCCTTGTTTCAGCACTTGTTATAATATGTGACACAGAGATATATAAAATTTATTCATCTCGGGCCAGGCGCGGTGGCTCACGCCTCTAATGCCAGCACTTTGGGAGGCCAGAGCAGGTGGATCACTTGAGGTCATCAATTTGAGACCAACCTGGTTAATATGATGAAACCCCATCTCTACTAAATATACAAAATTATCCGAGCATGGTGGCGCATGTCTGTAATTCCAGCTACTTGGTAGGCTGAGGTAGGAGAATCAGTTGAACCTGAACCTGGGATGTGGAGGTTGGACTGAGCCAAGATCATGGCACTGTACTCCAGCCTGGTCGACAAGACTGAAACTTCATCTCAAAAAAAAAAATTATTCATCCTAGAGTTTAGTGTATCCTTAGCCTTAATAAAACCACAAAGGTGGCAAAAAAAATCAGTGAAATCACTATTTAAGATTCCAATAAAACAACATTAAAATATGGAATAGTTCACATGTGTTATTTATGGAGAACCTCTTTTCAGGAGATAAAAATGTATCTCAAAATCAAATTATATCATCATCCAGGCAGGTGGTTACTATGCCACTGAAGTAGGAAAAAAGCAGTAAAATTAACTATAAGCTGGAGAGAAACTATAAGTTGGAGAAAAGCAAATATGTAATGCATTCAACACTCATGAAATTAGAATTTTGAATATCAAGTTTAAATTTGAGTGGGCTGTGGGTCATTCTCTTGACTTAACTGCCATGTGATTCTAGGAAGGCTACATGCCCAGAACAGTAAAGGACAATATGTGACATCAGTTTGATTTTCTGGCCACCAGAGAAACCTACCAGCTGTTACCACAGAACTGTAATCAATTAAAACACACACACACGTACACACACACACACGCACACACGCACACACACACACACACACACACACACACACACACACACACACGTTTTTCCAACACTGAAAAGTTTCATCTATTTGACTGACTCTCCAAATCTGAAAATGTCAATCCTCTCATTTTTCTAGTTCTCAAAGTGGAGAGGCAGTTAGGGCTAGAAATGGAATAACAGAAAACCCCAACCATGAAGTTCTCCAGGCCCCAAACTATCAGTAGCATAAAACATGACCAAGGTACTTAAATATTACCATAAGTGTTTCTGTACGAGAAAAAAAATGGATTCAGCAGAACTCTTTTCAGGAAAAGAACTTCATAAATTGAAAATCGTATATTCATAAACTGATTGGAAATACAGTGAGACAACAAGGCAAGTTTAGACAATCATAGATTGTCTGCAAACCCCCCAGAAGATAATGGGAGTCATTTACAACAGTTTTGATTTTGCTGAGTGAGGATATACAAGATTATGGTTAGGGGTAAATTACTATAGATGAGTCTTGGTGTTTCATCATTCAGTAGCAACCACTCTAGAGAGTTCATTTAGAAGTAAAGTCAGAATAAGTATTTTAAAAATACTGTACTGGTGTACTGGTTTGAAAAGGCACTACATTTTTACAAATTAAGGTGGAGGTATTTTTTATTTTATTTTATTTTATTTGTGATGGTGTCTCGCTATGTCAATGTAGTGGCATGAACTCAGCTCACTGCATTGGGTTCAAGAGATTCCCCTGCCTCAGCTTCCTGAGTAGCTGGCACTATAGGTGTGTTACCATGCCTGGTTAATTTTTTGTATTTTAGTCGAGATGTGGTTTCACTGTGTTAGACATGATAGTTTCGATCTCCTGACTTCGTGATCCACCCGCCTCGGCCTCCCAAAGTGCTGGGATACAGGCATGAGCCACCATGTCCAGCCCTATGGAGGTATTCTTTTTTTCTGTCTCATTCTTTCCCTCAAGATCTTGGCCATTTCTTGTCTTAGGAGTCCTTTGGCAGAACAGAGACCACCCTCTCCTAGGAATGAAAGAATAGAGAGTGGGGCCTTTCCAATGTCTTTTCTGAACTCCCTCAATGGTTCTTGTGATTCTATGCTTTAAATGCTCCTCAGGTAAACATTGCAATGATGCCTCACCTATGCTAAAAACCCTTCACACATCTATAGTTTCACCAAAGCTTGTTGTACACATGGAATGCTTTGTTTTAAAAGCAAAGTTTCATTTCAACCTTGATGGCATGATCCCTCCTTGTGAAAAGAACCTGGATACTGTTGAATTAGACAAATGATATTATTTTCTTGGGTTGAAAATGAAAATCCCATGAGGTAAATATAAGCCTGCAATAGTTTGTGTAGCTGACTAGGGAACTTTGGAATGCCAATTAGGATATGTGTATATAATACTTCTAAAAGCTAAGAGTGAGCATTTATGATTGTAGAAATGTTAAGCATAGGTTTTGATAGGCCACAGCTATGCAATGTATGCCTCTAAAATATTCTACCAGAATTTCTTTCACTGAGCCTTAAGATATTTATTATTAGAGGCTTGTTTTTCTCTCTTAGAAGTTGTTTGTTCTCCCCAGTTTGCAGCACTTTAATAATGTGAAGTGATTCACTCTAGAGAAGCACTGAAGCAAAGAAAAGCTTCCTGGAGACATGCTGAGGGAATGACAACGTATCACGTTAATTCAGCCTTCCCCTTTTGTCCTCTTCCTATCGACTATAGAAAATTGTCTTTAAAAACATTCATATGGAAACATACATATACAAGGAGTTTGAAGTGTGTGTCTGTGTGTGTGGGTCTGTGTGTTTTACTTTTGCGTATGCAAAACAAAACCCTCTAGACAGCTGCTAAAGCTTTCTGACATCACCAGGTTCTTTTCTGTGAGTCATTAAGCTGCTGAAGCCTAGAAAATCAAATTTAGTTTAGGGCTGTTTGATAATGTAGTAAAACAGTACATTGGTTCACCAATTAGCTCATGTAATTAGAAAATCAAAAACATGCTCTGAGTGGGTGGTGGGCTCACCTAAGTAAATCCATTGTCATTGTCATGCTATACTTTCACTGATTAGAACTATAATTACACCTTTAGATGATAATACTACATTCAAATTTTTTACAAAAGGAAATCCACAAATATCTGTGTTTATAAATTACACAAGTAAATTAATTAGTTCAGTCACTCTTTCATTCACTATATTTTCCTTAATTATTTTCTCTTTTTTTTGAGACAGAGTTTTGTTCTTGTTGCCCAGGCTGGAGTACAATGGCTCGCCACAACCTCCGGATAATATAGGTTCAAATTATTCTCCTGCCTTAGTCTCCTGAGTAGTTGGGATTACAGGCATGCACCACCACACCTGGCTAATTTTTGTAGTTTTAGTAGAGATGGGGTTTCTCCATGTTGGTCAGGCTGGCCTAAAACTCCTGTCTTTAGGTGATCCATCTGCCTCGGCCTCCCAAAGTGCTGGGATTATAGGTGTGAGCCACTGCGCCCAGCCCTCCTTCATTATTTTTTTGCCAGGCTCTGGGTTGGGCAACAGGGCTGACTATCTGGGCCTTGCCTGCATAGAGCTCTCTATCCATGGTACTGTTTAAATTCTTCTAAGATAGAAAAGTAAACTGAAGTTAGAATAACACAAAAGTAGTCTTTCTGGCTGATTACTGAATTCTAATGATATTGCCAAGACATGTATCAAAAATAAGAAACAACAAATGTGAGAATTTTCTTGCTTAAAGGTTTTGACTGCTCGAGAAGAATTCTGTGATAGATAAAAATGTGAAAGGACTATTTGTTAGACGATGATGATGATGACGATGATGATGATGATGATGATGATGATTGAGATGGAGTCTCGCTCTTGTTGCCCAGGCAACTCTTGCCTCAGCCTACTGAGTTGCTAGGATAACAGGCATGCACCACAATGACCATCTAATTTTGTATTTTTAATAGAGAGAGGGTTTCCCCACGTTGATCAGGCTGGTCTCAAACTCCTGACCTCAGGTGATCTCCCTGCCATGGCCTCCCAATCTGCTGGGATTACAGGTGTGAGCCACCTCTCCTGCCTGTTAGATTATTTTAAAACAGCTTTTCATACAGCCTCTGTGCACATTTGTGGAAATCTAAGGTGCCTGGTTGTATTTAAAATGTATTTCCGTAAATTCAAATCAATACAAGGATTGGTTGGATGGTTGAAACAGTCTGTCAATAGGAATTTCAAAATGTGTGTTACTTTGCTCTTTTCTTACTGCTACTGAGGTACATAGTTATGGTTATATGGTCCAGGGCTTTCCAATAAAGATAATAAAAGGATGATGGGGATGAATTACCAGAGCTTGAGTCACTAAAGAAAAGGTATTCTTAGATGATGCAATCATTTTCATGCTATTTTACTGCTCAAAAAAGAGACAATGTTGTGCTGTCATTATCATTGATTTTTTAAGGCCATATTTTAATGTTCAAACATAATATTTTTAAAAAATGAGAAAATTATTTTCCTCATAATTGTAAAATTACCCCTCCCTGATATATTCTTTGTAAACTCACAATATGTATCTTGTATTATTACACCTCCCCACAAGAAAATCACAGAATTCTAAAGGAAGCAATAATCTTTGATTATTTTTTATAGCATCTTAGTCATATATTTTAGAATTGCTTGGAAAATATTTTATTTGAATGAAAATGCACAATCAGAAATATCAAGAAAATGTGGTTATTTATAGCTAGAATGAAAATTTAAGCCCCAAGCATTATTTAAAATGCAGCTGTCTCCTCCTCAACATATACTTAGTAGTTCTCTTCCTTTTTATTCCCTATTTACAGGTCAATGGGACAGAAATCGAATATGAATTTGAAGAAATTACACTGGAGAGGGTAAGAAAAAAGTTTTAAAATTCCAAAGCACCAATCTTGCATTTCACATTCTATTCTACGTGTTAATGGGTTGTCTTGTGAAATTGTACAATTGTGTTTTGTAACCTGGAAGTTTCCCAAAGGACTCACAATGAGAATATTAATGAAATGCTCACAGTAGAAAGCATTGAGACAGAAGATCAAATAACAGAATGTTCTGTATGTAAATTTAATTTCCAGGATTTGGAGAAATGAATGGGAAAGTGAAATGTTAGATGAGCTTGTACAGTACTTTGTTCTTGATGGTTTTATTATTAGTGTTTGGTCTATACATTATTTAGATATGTTACAAGATGTTCTCATTTTTGTGATATCAATACTGCCATCATAATTACAGTTACCATTTGCATTTCTTATTTCCTTTAAAAAAAAAGTGATGCATTGTAAAACTACTCCCATAGAAAAAAACACAGAAACCCCATAGAGCTCTGCAAATATGTTGATAGGGCCTTGGCAAACTCCTTTGACAAATTATGGAAACTGTGCAACACAATCCTAATATGTTTAGATATTTTACAGAACAATAAGAGAAAGGCCAAAGACTATGTAGAAAAAAGTGACCAAAAGGCATTAACAGGACATTCGCTAAAAAAGAAAAAGGTTAAACACCTGAAAACCTGTTCAACCTCACTAAGAACAAAGGAAGACACTGAGAGCAAACAGTTTTTGCCTGTCCAACTGGTAAAAACCTAAAAGGAATATGAATATCCAGTGCTAGTGAGAGGTCCTGAAAGTAATACGACCCTAAAAGAGCAATTTGGAAACACAGATTAAAAGCCTTTAAAATGAATACACTTTTTGACCCAGAAATTGTACTTACAGGAATGGACAAATACACAAAGAATGTTCATATTGGTATGGTTTATAATAGTGAAGATTGAAAAAGGTGTTTAATAATAAACAAAAAGAATAAATGTTTAAGTTTATATATTCATATAATAGAAATTATATATGTTGAATTGGTACTTTAGAAAAATATTGAATCAAAAAGATACAAAGTCTACCTAGAGTCAATTATTAAATTAAAATTTAACTTTAAAAATTGTATTTAAGATATCCAATAGACACAAAGCTATGTAATGTAATATATATACATGTAAATATACTCATAGAGCCTGGAAGGATCTATACCAAAATGTTATACATTTTGGTAGCTGACTCCTGTTAAGGATTTGGGGGTAATTTTTAATTTCTCTTTCTTGTTTACACTTATTTCGTAAACCTATAACAAAAGCATACCATATTTAGTATAAGAAATAAAAATGTAAATATTTTCACTAAGCCATCATTCAAGCATAAGATTCTAGACCTGCACTTTAATTTATTTCTTTTTTTTAGTTTACTAAGTATTCACTCTCCTGAGTCAGAGTATTTCTTATCTTTAGGCTGATTTTATCAAGCGCAAGTGGTTTTAAACAAAAATTTACATTGAAACTTAAGTGTTTGACCGATGGATTCTTTAAAACTTCCATTATAGACCTGATAAAATGTTAATTGTATGCTAACTGGAGAAAAGTAAGGCTTATGGAAATTCAGCTCAAATGAGACAAAAGAACAACACATTTCTCCTAAATCATTAAGTTTCTCTCCGGGACAAGCTATTTGATTTACAGAGTGAAGTACAAAATGAAAATGTGGGACCTTTCTAAACATAGGACTCAATGCAGCTGAGCATGTCTCTTGCCCATGAAGCTGAGCCTTCTCCCTTTTCTTCATCCAATGTACATCACCATCTTGAATAGAACACTATTTAGTTGCCCTTGTATTAGAGGTCAAAAAATAGAAGCTAACATTGGTATGAGAGAGAACATTTAGTAGGAGTCAGACAACTGTGATTTCTAGTCTGGTTTCTGATCTTACATGTTTCCTGATCTTCAGCATGTCAACTTACCTCCCTGACTTCCTGCCTTGGGGTTCCTAACCATACTCTGAACCATGTTACTGCCATTAACTGCCCCATCTCCATAGCCCCTATGTCACGCAACATCGTCTCTGAACACTTCCTCCCTTCTGTTCGTATCATTTATTCTAGTACCCTTTCAATGAAACTTTAAAAACCCATTGAAACCTCGGATCATTGATTTCACCATTTCTACCCAGTTTTATAGAATTTTACAGCCTGGTCAAGGATACAGAAGTAAGTAGGCAAACACTATGAAAATGAGTAGATTGCTCTCTACATGTGATCAGCATGAAGTAATTTCTTGAGGCATCATACCTGAGCTGGCTTATGGAGAGATGGGAGGGAGCAAACCATGTAAAAGGGAGTGGAACCCAGGCATCGTAGCTCATGCTTCAGATTCCAGCTACTCAGGAGGCTGAGGCAGCAGGATCATTTGAGCCTAGTAGTTTAATGCTGCAGAGAACTATGATTGTGCCACTGCACTCCAGTCAGGACAATAGAATGAGACCTCGTCTCTAAAAAATAAAAATTTTTGAAAGAGGAGCAGAGGAAGGCCTCTCAGATAGGGAGTGGCAGGTGCAAACATTAATGAGCCTATGCAAATGTTAACATGCTCAATAAAAATTCACAAACATTATATAAATATATCCATTTATGTCTAAATACATACATGCTTGGGTAGTACCTCTGTATTTAATGTTTATATTTGCATATATTTTAAACATACTTAAAATATACACTGATAATTTCACATACATAAACTTTGCTGTTCAGTTAAGAAATTTATCTATTACCAAAATTATTAAACTGTAAGACTATGTAAAAACTGAAATTCTATCAAATATCTACTTGAACCCTGCCTGTTTTTTTATTCATGTCACTACTATTAAAAATAGCTAAAGAGACCTAGAAAAAATTAGAAATTTAGAAACTCAAAAGCTTTGTATTATTTGAAGTAACAGATCCTTAATTCTATTTGAAATTAGGAATTTTCATAAAGATCAACAATGTGAGCTAAAAGAATTTGGTCTAAATAAATCATATATCTAATGATTTTCTAATTATTTTGATATCTGGATGAACTGAAGAGGCCACCATTAGACAACTTTAATGGGTCTCTTCTTACCTGGCAGTTCACTAACACTATTTTTTAAATTCCCACATTACATGCCTTATATCCTAAACTTGCTTCTTCTATAGGAATTTGCATGATGCAATGAATCAGTCATTTTTCTTTGTCCTATAAATCATTTTGTTTTGGCACAGGTGAAATAATGACTAACAAAAGTCAATAATTTACATTTGAGGAACTGGTTCAGATCTTTGAATTTTTTAATTAGTTGAAAAAGAATCCTTAACTTGTCAGACAAAACATTCAAATAGTACCACATGGCTGTACATTCTGAAGCTGTTGGGAAAGCACTCCAAATGTTTTTTACTTTAGTGAGGGTGTGAGGAATATGAGAGTCAAAGAAGGTAGCTGATAGTCATTTTAGCATCTTTGCAAAACTGTAATTATGCATGCTGATGAGGGCTGTAGAAGCATCATAAATCTATTCTCAATGCTTGGTCAACTAACTATTCTTGATACAAATTGAGTTGGGGGCACATAAGCCATTAATTTCATGCATAGAAAATGGATAAATTACTCAGAGTACACAAAGGCAGACTTTACTTAACTACACTTGCTAATGTCATAAGAATCCAGGGTGTCAGGAAGTCTTGAGATATCAAAGGTGTCTATGGCTGAGAGGCTCAGATTGTGATGATAAAAGGAATTTGCAGAATTATACTCTAGGTATCTTTGAATTCTTCCTTCTCTTTTGCATTTTCCCATCCTACAAAACACCAGATACATTCTTCTATCATTCCAATATTCTTTTAAACTATTCTCTTCTCCATCAACATTGGCAGAATTTAGCCATTAATTATTTATCTTAAATGGCATACCTGCATTCTTTCCCAAATCCTATGTATATGCAATATTGCAGCCAAAGTGATGTCTTTAAAACATAAAAATGGTTAAGTTGTTTTTATCCTAAAATTTCTCCAAAGACTCTTTATTGTATGTAGGATAAGGTTTAAACTCTTATCTTATTGGTATCTTATCCAAGGCAACCATGGATGCCCTCTTCATCTTGCCAGCCTCATTTATCTCTCAGAGCCCTAGTTCATATCTTCAAGTGCAGTCATTCGGAACTACTTTTATGTATAGAAATATATTTATATAATGTGTGAATTTTATTCAGAGTTTTATTGGCTTTGGTTAAAGGTTTTGTAATAATTTTGTAATAAAAGTAAGCTTAATAAAAACAGTAGGTGCTGGACCTTGACTACCTGTGGCCTCACACCCAAGACATCTGTCTACTCACCTGCATCTGGCATTGGGTGTGCACCCTCAGGGGCAGACCCTTTAGCTCAGCAGGCTTTGGAGTTCACAGCCAGCACTGGTAGTGTCAACCTGAAGTAACACAGGGGACAAGGTGGCTGACTAACTGTAGCTGGGAGCACCTCTTGCGCTAAAAGAAAACAAAATATTGAGCAAATCTTTACACTTCAAACAGATCATTTGAAATAAAACATTGAAAGTTGATATAGAGGCGATGTAGAAACCAAAGTAGAGGAGGGAGGAATCTGGGAACACTGTACAGAGTTGACAAGCTCCAGGACCAGAATGGGACCGAAGGAAAAGCATACATTGCTAGTGAAACCCAATGCAGAAATCTAGTCACAAATGAAGAGCCTCAATCCTCTAAAAACATCCAGAAATTAAGCCAAACAACTATACTCAACACATACCACAATTCGACTCTAAAAGAAATAAAGAATAGAAACACAGGTCAGGTGCAATGGCTCATGCCTGTAATCCCAGCACTTTGGGAAGCCAAGGTGGATGGATCACTTGAGGTCAGTAGTTTGAGACCACACTGGCCAACATGGTAAAACCCTGTCTTTATTAAAAATACAAAAATTAGCTGGCATATTGGTGAGTGCCTGTAATCCTAGCTACTTGGGAGGCTGAGGCATGAGAATCACTTAAACCCAGGAGGCAGAGGCT